ATGTCAATGATGATATCAAATGTATTGCATAATAATCATGACCATCATGAATATTTGATGGATGGAGGCATTCACATGCAAAGAAATAATTAAATAGCTAAGTCGTGTTTGTTTTATTAAAGATGTATGATTAATTATATTTAAAATATACAATAAAAAAATTGCAAGACTGCACCACTATGTCAATCAAACTATCAAGCTGTTATGGTTTTCTAATTTAGGGTCCCATCTTTCTTTGCTTATATATAATCTATTGGTCCAACTTGGGTAATGGGGTATCAGCAAATATCAGAATCTGATTATTCTTTAAAAAAATAATTTTGGTATTGGCATACTGATAAGTTAATAATATTCTTAGTATTTTTATCATATAGTCTAAAAGCCTACTAGTAAATATTGAAAATGCTGATATTTATCAGATATTCTTTTAAAATTAATCCTTTTTTTAGGCTTAGTTTAATAAACCAATAACTCTTTTTTATATTGTAATTAAATTATTTCTAAATCTTTTTGTGCTAAAATAATATCATAATCTTGAGCAGCAGTTAAGTTTCTATTCAAATAAAGTTTACTGGAATAAAACAAACAATTTGAGTAAAAAAAATAATTTGAACAAAAACGAACAAAACGAACAAAAAGAATGGTTGTAATTCTAGTTCTAATTCTAATTATCCCTAAAAATATTATATTAGAGATAATAAACGAAAGAGAGAAGAGAATGAAGAGGATAATGATTATGATTCTAGTAAATAAATATTCATGTTATTGCATGTCTTTGTAATCTTTTTTGCATTAGCTAAATTTGAATTTATTATAATTGGAATGAAGATTATTCTAAGTATATAGATATAGAGGCATTGTTTGGCGAAATAAAAACTTCTCTACGAAAAGGAATGATACCACTGAAACCAGTGGATGTCTTCCATTTGTTAAAAAAGATTTATGAGGTATCTTCATTATTATCAATTTTTTTATTGGTAATATTACATTATAATCTAATTTGTTTTTAAAAAAAAACTCAAGGGAGAATCAGGAAAGTATTCTAAAAATTGTGCTACAACAGAAGAAACTGATTATTCAGCAACATACAATGACAACAACAACAACAACACTGCTACTGCTACTGCTTCTACCACTGCTGCTGTTACTGTTGCTGCTGCTGCTGCTTCTACTAATGCTGCCCCTACTCCTACTACCGGCAATACTATTAGTAACTCTATACAAGAAACATGTTCATATGTACCTACAATATTACCAAAGAATGCTACTATTCCTTCTACCACCACTACATCGACTACAAATGCAAATTTAACTCCAATCTATCCATTAACAACACAGTCTACTACTCAGTACTATCAAAGAAATTTTGCATCTTCTTCCTCTTCTAATTACCTGAATAATTTAATGCCTCATGGCATAAAAAGAAACTATCAAGATCATTATAATCAATCATCAACAACAACAACTACCAATTCTTTGCAGATGTCCAATAATAGTAATAATACATCTTTAAATGAAGAGGATCAAGAGGATGAAAGTGAGTCAGGTGAAAGTGAGTCAGATGAAAATGAGGAAGAAGAAGGAAGTGGAGTAGAAGAGGAGGGTTGGATTAGTCCAAAACAAGTCCTAGCACCGAATGGAAAATATTTAATAATAAAATATGATGAAGTGGAGACAGAGCAATCAGGTAGTGAAAAGGAAGTTGATGATGAAGATTTAAGTGTCTTGGAATCTGATGAAGGAATCCATTCAGGTTCAAGACGTTGGTTGAATGTGGAACTTACAATCCTGTTGAAGTATATATTCAGAAGAATTAATACTAGAAAATTGTACCATGATTTAGGACTAAAGAAAAGCTCCCGAGCCATGAGTTTAAAGAAATCATATATCAAGAGGAGAGTTCAGGAACTTTTTGAAGTGGATTGGTGATATGTCCTCAAAAAAAATAATTTAGCAATCAATAATTTTTTTATATTCACACATATAAATGGATAATTTTTTTATGTGTATTTATTTATATTAATAATTAATTGTCTATATTTTTTTTGAGCACAAATTTCATACTCTTCACTCGCTAGCTTCATCAATTAGTTTCATATCATCTATTTATTTTACATACTTTTCAATTAAATCTTTAAATCTTTAATGACAGTAATAATTTATATGTTTTTATAATAATAAATAATAATTGCTATTTCATATCTGATTAAATGAGATCTTCTTTAATCTCAGTTGTCACCCAAAATGCCAACAATACCAATGACAATTGTTGAGAACAGTCGCAATAACAGAAAAAGAAATTGTTGTCAAAAATTGTCCATCATCACTACTACTTTTTATTGCTACAACACTACCATTGCTACATTTGTCTCATCCTTCACTTCAATTCTTGACTAACTTTATATATGTCCAAAAATAATTGATTTTTTTAATGATAAAAATTTTTTTTATGTGCATCAAAATGAGCACGGTTTCAAAAAATTCAATTCAATCCAAAAATTTTACTAAAGAGAATTTCATCAAACTATTATTATGTTATAACTAGAGTAGCAAGTAATACAGTCAAACCTCAATAAGCTGAACTTCTGGGAATCAAAAAAATAGGATCAGCTTATCAAAATTTGGTTTATGAAACAAAACGATTTTTATTTAAATTCGGCTTACAACATTATAAAATATAAATTTAAAAATTATTCTAAACAAAAATATTTATCTAAAGATTGTTGCACAGAACTATTAACCTTATGACTTAATAATTTTTTTCTAAGAGTACAAATACATTTTAATTCATCTTCGCATACATCAAAATCACTTGGAATAAAGATTTCATCCTGTTGCTCATCTATTTCTATTTCTGTTGGTTGAATTAATGCAACAATATCCTCGTCTTCCATTACTAATTTGCCTGCAACCATGTTATTCTCAATATTTAAATACTCATCTGCTAAAAGTGAATCATCAAATGGAAGTTGGTTAATTAAATCTTGAACTTCATGATTCTCTTGTTCAATATCAACTTCAACCTCAACTTCAACATTATTCAAAAATTCTAAATTTTCAGGTAAAATTCCAGTATGTTTCCAGCAATTTTTTATTACTGTTGATGTTACACTTCCCCATGCTTTTTTGGTAAAACAAATAGCATCATATATTGTAACTGGAGTAACTGACTTTTCTAATATCTGAGCTGTCTCATAAGCTTCAATGCGATCACGAACCAACAATTTTTTATATTGTGCTTTAAAAGAATGAATAATTCCCGCATCACATGGTTGTAAATGACTAGTAGTATTTGGTAAAAAAAATTCCACTTTTATATTGTTCAAAGTATCTAAATTTCATGAGAATGAACTGGTGCGTTATTGACCAATAATAAAATTTTTCTCTTTTGAAAATGCATTTTTTTATCAAGCTTTTGTAGATAATCATTCCATATACTGACTTGCATCCATGCTGATTGGTTCCAATAATAATCAATTGACAAATCGTTTTTATTTTTACCATTAAGTGAACAAGGATTTTTATATTTATATATAAACAATGGATCTAATTTCTCTATACTTGTTGTCGGAATTCCCAGGCAGAAATAATACGGTTACAGCATGTGCCTTATTATTTGCTGTAAATAACGTAAATCGTAAAACCGTAAAACCGTAAAACCGTAAATACCGTAAATACTGTAATAGTAAATACCAGAAAATAAAAGACATAACAGCATGTGTAATAGTAATGGCATCATGACTATATATTAATATTTACAATTTACTATCATTATCATAATATTATTATACAACACAGTTTACTTATTATTTATCATTATTTTTACAACAATTAAAAATTCAAATTTCTCCCAAAAAAAATTACTCTAGCAATTCTTCAGAAAAAATTGCATCAAAATTAACATTACGATCACCATGATCAAAAACCTCCTGCTCATTCCTAGTTGTACTTTCATCTTCATTTCCATTTACATCAAATCCAAGACTCAAATTCATAATACCTTCCATAAACAAAATATCATTATTTAAACCAAGACTTTCATCCTCCTCTTCGTTTTGATCTTCATCCTCCTCTTCTTCACCATACTCAAATAATTCATTATCTTCACCATATTCAAACAAATCATCATCTTCAGCCATATATTATATAATATAATTGTATAATGTAACTGTTTTTACCTAATGCTTGATTTATTCTCTCTCTCTTACTTGTGTCAATTTCTACAGAAGAATCAATATAATTGGTAATGGATGGATTAGATGAATTTATCTTCTGTATTTTATTAGAACTCGAAGATTGTTCTATCAATATTTGCATGTATTCAAGTTTTACATTAGTTGACACTGCAGAACAATGTAAAGCTAGATGCTCTTTCAAAAGTTCAGGTTTACCTCTAGACCAAGCTTCTGCGCAATAATGACATTTGGCAGAGAAGTGGCCATCTCCTATTGTTTCTTTAAAAAAAATGCTCCCAAACAATTGATTCTTTACGACCTCTTTTATTTTTTTTTTTGACCATTGCTTTGATGATTACTTGACATGCCCGACCTAACAGAACTCATAGAACTCATTTTTTCTTTTAATAATTGAAAAATATTTTGTTAAGAAAAAACTTATTATTTCATATAATATAACTATTTCTATAAATATTTATTATCATTCACTGTTGTTTAAAACCTACATTAGTATGTTTATGTTATGTTTAATTGAATTAATAAAAAAGACGTTTAATATTATTAAAGGTTCATGGAAAATTTTTCTGTGTTATTATTAGGTGTTACAGTACTACTATTACTATGATATTAGGATTTACGGCATTTATGGCATTTACGGCATTTACAGCATTACGGTTTTACAGTTTACGGCTTTTATGACTTTGAGGTCTCATGCCGAAAATCATTTACGGCTTATACGTAATGCCGAATTTGCCGTAATTATGGAATTCTGACGACAAGTATAATGCAGACTAAAGCAAATTCAGCAACAGCAGTTGTGCCAAAGTGTTCCCTACAAAGTCGCTTATAACCACTTGGAAGATTGTGTTAGAAAAATTTTGCTTATAATTATAAGGGACTGATTTATAGTTATTTATAAGGTTATTAATTTATTTAGAATTTTAAAATTACATGGTATTTCAAAATAATAATAATAATAATGGTAGTTAATTTATTGTTTGATAATTATGAATACAAAGAATTGGAGAAATAATAATTAACAATAAAGAAATTTTATTTATTGATGATAACATCTTTTAATCATATTCCTTTTCTAAAATTTATATCACATACCAATTACATAAGAAACACATGAATGTTTCAGAAAATTTTTATTTTAAAAATGCGTTCTTGGAGAATTATTAATTAGTTTTCACCAGAGTTATCAGAAATAATTTTGTCACTACATTATCCATCGAAAGATTATTATAATAAATAATAAACGATAATAATTATTATGCGTAACAATCGTTTCTGATCGTACATCCATTTTTTTTCTTGAAAAAAATAAAAAAAATAGATAGTTAATAGTTGATGCAACATTGCATACATATCCTTTTAATAGTTTATTATTAATAGTATATTGTTATTACAGGAACATTAATTAGAATATTTTGATGTTGAATTTTACAAACAATTATATTTTCTAAATAATTAATAATTAATAAAATATGATTGCGTAACGGATTGTACACTGTCAGATCGTCAGATCGTTCAACCCTTTGCAACATTTGGAAAAAGAAATAAATATTTTAATATAATCTCACATACCTTTTAAAAATAGCAGTAACATTAGTGCTTGTAATCTTGAAATAATTGGTCAATTGATATGATTTTAGCTCAAAATTTTACATATATGTTATATTAATATATAAATGTATATAAAACCATTAATAATCATTAATTCGTGCTCCGTGAGACAACTGCAAAATTTTGCCGATCATTAGAATTTTTGGAATATGACCGTCCCTCACGTGATTAAGCATGATTACGCGCGACATTAAAATTTAAAATTTAAACTTTTCAAAGTAACCAAACATCTATTTATATTTCTTTTTTTTTGAATAAAACTAAATACTAATGCCTATTTATATTTTTTTTCTTGAATAAATAATTAAATATTATACTTGAATCTTAAGTTTTATATAGCAATTTTAGGCAAGAATCCAGTGGTCCCTCCATATAAAGATAAAATATTTTATAAGAAAGTCCCTTTGAAAATTTGTATATTAAAACTTTGGGTTTCTTATTATTTATTACATTTGCAAATACAATTTATAAATTCGTATAAATAGTAGTTTTTTAGGAATGAAGTATGGGTTCCAGAAAATTTGCGCCAAATTCTGTTATGAAATTATTGCAGTTGTTTCACGAATTAATAAAATTTTCTTTTCCTTTAACCTATATATGTTACATATTAATAACATCTCCATCAGATCCTACTAATGCATTAATAAATAAATACCTTTTAATTTAATCATTACACTTCTAAATATATATAAAAAATAATAGAAAATGCATGAAAAAAAAATTAGTAATAGTATGAAGCTAATCTTTAAAAACATTAAAAAAACCAAATTAACTGACATTATTTCCATTTTATTAATAGCCATTCTTGAAAAGAGTCTGTTACGCGAATTTGTTTTTGTTTGAAAATATTAAATAAATATCAATAAATTTTGTTTGATACAATCTTCTATTTCATCTAGCAATGTATATTAATATATTAATAAAATGTTTATTATTATTATGAAAATATTTTTCTATAAACAAATTATCATTTAAAGGTTGGAGATTGGAACTTAACTATTGCATTTATTATTATTATCTAAAAAAAATTAAGCCCAAAGATTGAAATTGTGCATGTTATCCAATTTCTTAATTTATTATTATTATAGAGAACTGGTAGTCCAACTTCATGTTAAGATTATCGTTTAGTGGTATTTGTTTACCCTGGCAAAAAATACATCAAAATAAAGGTTTTTTCATATATTTGTTATTTTTTTATGATTCAATAACAATTTGATTAAATCAAGCAAGTTTGTGTATGAATGCGTGATTTTTTTAAAAAAAATTTTATCAGTGAATGACACTTCACCCACAATGTCCCGCGACTGATCAGGTATGACTTATTTTTGACATTTTGGTAATTATCAATTAGTCCTCATTTATCATTCTGTTTTATTTTATTTTATTTTATTGGACAAAATCATGTAAAAAGTCATGTTATTGTTAAAGTAAGCCGTCGTGTAAATTAAAAAACTTCATACATGAGTCATGGTAATTACGGTAGAATTGTTAGAATAATTTCATCGGGATCATGCATTTCTATATGATGTAACCGAATTCTATCAATAAATAAAATTAAATAAATAAAAATAAAAACAGGTAAATTTCGCATTTCGATACATGTGTAAATTATTATTAATTAATTTTTTTTGACAGTCAAAAAAGTTACATATCACGCACAAATATTTGACAGTCCATAAGAAAAATTAATTTTAATCAGTTTGAATTTCAAATTCCCTTCGGCTTTGGCTGAATATAGACCAAGTAATGATTTAATTTATGAGATTTATTGGTCTGAATTTCAAATTCCCTTTGGCTTTGGCTGAATATAGACCAAGTAGCGATTGCATTTATGAGATTTATTGAGTAAACCCCCCTAAATGAATATTAATCATGGATAAAGTAAATTCCTTATAAATACGCATGCCTTGAGGAATTAATCAGTCTGAAAAACATACCCTTTCGTATTTCATACCGAGAAAACGATATTTTGTCTAATTCTGGCCAATAACACTCACAATGAAATATAGTATCTCCTACATCCTTACCATCTCCATAATTTTTTGCATAGTAGCTAACATAGCTGAAGGTAAAATTTCGAACATGGGTAGCAAAGATTTTATAATTATCTATGCTAATGACTTTACCGGTTTGCTTTGATGTAAATAATGTATAGCACTCCATACGAATGTAACTTCTACCATTGAAGGGGGAACGAGATGCCATACTTATATAACTGATTGTAATGGTCATGTTTTAGCGGACGATGGAATGAAAGATTGCTCCACTAATTATGCATTTTGTAGAGCATCTAGTCATGATTTACCAGACGGCATGACATATTGTACTCACATGATAGTTCAGGGTCACATCGGGAGTAATAATCGATACATCGAAGCCAGTGACACTGCATGTTTCCATCTTCATGGCAACGTTTTTCATTGGACTTTTGATCAAATAGATTGTCATGATTATTGTTATCCTGACATTGGTACTCACGTAAGTCTAATCTATTAATTAATTGTAATTATTGTAAAAATGATTATTGTATTTATATATTTATATATTTAAAAG